TTGCTAGGGAATTCTGGGAGTTGAAGTCCACGCATCTTAAAATTGCCAAGGTTGAGAAACACTGCTTTAGAATCATAGAGTTGGAAGTGACCCAAGAGGTCATCAAATTCACCTCCCTGCACCCTATAGGGTTCACTACACTATCTGTGATAGATGACCATCCAATCTCCATTTGAAAATCTCCAGCAAAAACCCTTGTTCAGGTTTGGTTGCTTGGTGCTAAAAATGGGATACTAAGTTATCATACTACCTCATTCTGTCTTCCTGATACTTTGTGAAAAGAATTATAATAAAAGAGCTCCCTTACTTACATTTGCTGGCCCTATTTTAATATTTTTTTTTAAGATTGGGTCCAACAAGGCATGGCTTTCATGATCAGCCCCATGAGAGAAAGAATGCAAAGAACACCATACCTGGTGTCTTCTCTGTGAAGACGACTTTGGATTCTGCAGTAAAATTCTGGCCGGTTAAAATCATTTGCTGTCCACCATATACAAGGCAGGTGTCCACATCTTGTCTTTCAACCATCGGAAGTTCATGAGCGGAGCGCTGGGCTGTGGACCAAATACAGACTAGAATTAAATGAAATCTTAAAAAAAAAGGGGGGGGGATTTCAGAAGTACCCACAAGATCTATTTTGTCAATATTGCCATTTCCTCACTGCCAAAGAACTTCTCTGTGAGGCTAAATTTAGGGCTAAAAAATAAAAGAGGAAAAATAAATCTATACTGAAATAATAATCAGGAGTTGGCTCCAGAACTGCAGCTCTGCTGGCCTTACTCTTGTTTCTGACAAACAAGAACTCGGCTGAATGAGCTGGAGTCAGCCCATGTCTCCTTCCAAGTCAGTGACCAAATTTCCAAGTGCAAGTATGTTACATTCCTGAAACCTAAAATATGGCACCTGTAGACTCAATTCCAATCAATAGGCCTGACTTCTTTACAAAGAGCTGCAGCATAACTTATTCCAAGATAAAACAGGACAACATTTGAACCAGTTAAGTAGCAAGAACATATTTGGTTGGGATATGCGAAAGCAGAGGAATCTGGGAGCCAAGCTGCAGAAAAAGGTCTTGCAGGAAGCCTGGTGGCTTTTCCTTGTAATGTATTCTAGGCACCTTTGATGAGTATTTAAAAGGTTTGAAGCATTCTATATAGCATTTTTGCATTTAGTCCCTTTTGTCTTTGCAATAAAATATTTCAAGAGGAAAGAAAGGAAGGATTGGTAAGAGGTAGAGAGAGACTAAGTTCACAGATTCAAAGTAGCCAGGCAAACCTTGAGTTTCAAACCCCTTGTTACCTAAATTCACAGAACCACCACCAAAGAACTCTCAGTCACAAGTTATCTAGGCCAATCATTTGCTATAAGGCAAGACATCCTGCCCGTAAAAGGTCCATCCATACCATAACAAAGACCCAGCTAGCTTCCTTGCTGGACCGTCCCTCACAGTAATGAAATGTTCTGAATTCCGTCTTCCATCCTTTTTGTCATTGAAACACCACTACTTTTGGCAGCCCGCTCAGCAAAACATAATGAATACTGCTTGTCTGCCTCCTGGTTCTGTCTAGTCAAAGGTGTTACATCTCTGGGTTCCATCATATACCTTCTTTAGCAAACACCTTGCCTTCTTCAAAAGACTAACCACAGAGATGAACTGTGGTTCCATAGGAACCTATTTCAGAGGACAGATGCATAAGATTATACATGAAGCCCAGCAGGAGATAACAGCCATCCAGCTTACCTTCCTTGCTAGTTACCATAAACCAGATGAAACTGAAAAGCTATCATTAGGGTTTTGTTTTTGTTTTTTTTCCACAACTGAAACAACTGAAAAAGGTCAAATATTTTCTTTTGGCTGGTCCTAATATCTCTCAAGCAGCTGTTTGGATTAACTGACCTAGGAGTTCAAGACGTGAATTCAAACTCCTCCATACTAATCTCATGCCTTCAAGGAAGGCCTCTGGAGAATTTTGTTCAACAGCTTAATCATCTTCCTAACTATCTCCTTACACTTTGCCCTGAATCATGGACCGCCAACTAATTCACACAGCCCTTCTGCTTATAGATGGGCATTTTCCTTCACTCCTGCTTAGACTGAACAATAGCCATGGTTGCAAGGAATGCCTCCATACTATGCCACAAGCATAATCCTTTTCAGGTGCACCATCACTCAGCCTACATTTTGTACCCTGGTGCACAAAAGCTATGACAAAGCCTTCACAATTTCATGTGAAAGTTTGATCATGGCAAGATTTTAAAGGAAGTGACAGCAGTAGCTTGCTAAATGATGAGCAGGAAATGAGTATGAGCAGAGTAGATGTACTAATGGGCTTCCAGCTTTCAGCAGCTACTAGAGAGTAGAGATCATGGAGAACATTGTTTAGACATGATTTAATGAACTAAATGTATAATTCCTGGATAAATCTGAGGATTGGAATGTAGCTAACTCTGCTTTTTTCGAAAACTTCTATAGATATTCTTAACCCCAAAAAAGCATGCTAAAATAGGTTTTTGGAGTTGAAATACATATAAAAACACTTATTTCAAGAAGAAACTATCAAGTGCATGTCTCAGAAGAAAATGTGTATACTATAAACATGAATTTCCGTGTATTGAAAAACAAGCGGGAATAGTCTTTAGAGTGAACTTCTTTGAAACTGACACAGAAAGAGACTGATGTCATCATCTCTACAAGAAAAAAAACTGCTTTAGATTTTGGGAATGGTTTCCATGTGCAACCTAAAAACTGATATTCAGGCTTGAATATATAAAACTTCCTACACAAAATGGCAACAGGATTAAGCTAGATCAGAACTGCCTCCTGAGAATGGGGCCACCTTTTTTAAGATCTCAAAAGGGTTTTGTCCCCAGTGCTGCTACCCCTTTAGGTACAGATAGCAAGATCACCCGGGGAGAAGAGGTCTACTGATGCAGTCTGATCTTCTCCAGCTATGTTGAACAACAATCACCCATAGCTGTTATGATTGTGTTGATATGAGTTGCTCAACACATCTGGAGGACACCAGTTCTTTAGATTTCTATCTGCCTGAACAGACTTGCTGTAAGCCTATTAAACTTAACTTGGTTATATCATCACAAAAGGATTCCAAAACTTAAATCTGGAACGAAGATTTATTGCATACATGAAACTCAGTACACTTCTATTACCAAATGCATACATACTAAATTTCAGAGTACTATCAGGATATCTATTAATATTCAGTGGGCTATACCCATTCCCTGGGTGATTAAAAATCACCTTTCAAATTACAGTTCAGCAGTGATCACAATTAATAATTTGTACAATGTGGGGTATGTTTCTTTTTTTCTCTTTAACTTAGGGCACTTCATTCTTCATTATTCACACAGCTGGTCCACAAAGCTGCCAGTAGTTTATACTGAGATTACTTTCACAGAAGTTGCTTATTCCTTCCCACATGGTTTATATGATTAATCATTCTTTGTAAACAGTCAAGGTCTTGATGAGTTCATAATTGGATTTACCACTAACAGAAGATTTATCATTCTGAAAATGCAAGGTTAACTGATATCTAAAAAAATAAATCCAACTACAGGATTCAAAAGAAAATAAGTTTAAATGCTATTTGAGAATATTTTTGTACAGCTAATTCTGAGCCTAGAAAGTTCTGGAGAAAAGTTCAGTGTAGCTCAGCGAATAGATACACCCCGTTATCAAAGTTTCAAGGTAAAGAAACAGAGATTCTTTCTGCATTGAATTAGACCACCTCTGGTTTTGAGAAATTGTATTCACTTTATTTAGGGTTTAAAATCAGATCTTCAGTTTGCAAACATTCTTACTCTTAGATGCAGCTTTGCTACAGAAGTACAAGTATCTTGTCCTGGGAAATATTTCAGTGAGATATCTTTTGCCAGCTCAAGCTAGACAGGGATGGTCTAGTTATGGTTTGCCTTTGAAGTGTGAACTCTTCTCCTAAGACAGCTTAGAAAAATGCAGCCCATAAGAATAAGCTGCAATAATTCGTTCATAATAAATCTCACTCTTGTTGAAAAAAGTCAACCTGCCAATCAACCAGTCAGTGCTTTTCTTTGTGTGCCCCCGACGGAGATTGGATAGGTGATGACTGGAAAAAGGACATTCGCCACTGTGGAATTCCTTCCACAAGATTTGCTAGATGCCTATACTGTTATCTTTTCAGAATTAGACAAATGACTCCCCCCACCCCCAGGCTTTTAAAACTATTTTAAATTAATTTCCACCTTTAAAAATGTGCTGATCCAATGCTGTTTTGTATTCCGATGTATGTTATTTGATCAAAATGGTCCTACACTCTTATAATGAACAAGAGTATAGAAACAGATGCATGCCTTATGCATATATATGGCGTACCAAGCAAGTTATTAAAAGAATAGCCTATTAAGTTTAATAAAATTAAATCAGACTATTCTTATTATGGCTTCTGAAAGCTATAAGAATATGCACAAGGATACAGAAAGTAGCCTTATGACAACACACCATATACACTCCAAAGTCCTATTACTAAAATAACATTGAGCAAATTAGACAATTGCTCTAATTCAGTATTTTCCAACCTTTGCAACTTCCAGATGTGTGGACTCCCAGAATTCTCTGCAATGGCCACGCTAGGTGGAGGATTCTGGGAGTTAACCCACATATATGGAAGTTGCAAAGTTCGGGAAACATTGGTCTAGCAAGCCAGTCTGGTTCCCATTGGTTTGAATGGCTCTCCATGTCTTCAGACAAGCATTGTTCTGTTGATGTTTGTTTCAGTGGAGATACTGAGAACTGAACTTGGAAGTTTCTACAGTCAAACATACATTCTGCCATTGAGTTATGGCCCATTTTCAAAGTGTAGATCTCTCCGAGGTGCTACTCTTAGGAGAGCCAAAGCAGCAGATTTGCATTATGTATTGTGCATCAATATCTTATAAAAAGAAGCCAACATTTGACCCATCAGGAAACTTCCTTTATGCTCAGTCATTTTTTTGACTGTACATGTAGGCCAATGTCCAGTGGGGACAGGACTGAGGATGGGACTGGTGCAATCCCTCTGAAGCTCCCTGGTCAGGCAACGTCACTACTTTGCTTGTGCCCATCAGCCATGACTCAGCAGGGAAACCAAACAGTGTGCAATATACAAATAGAAATTAAAACATAAAAGCCAGCTATAAAAGTCTGCAATGCATAAAACATGCTAATAATAAAATAATGAAAAGGGATGTGTTGGCCCTGTTATGCCTAACCACATTTTGGGCAACAAATTTATTTATTCTTTTCTACGCTGCCAATGCAAAGAGAAACGCCTTATGTGAGTCACCATTGTTCCTACCAATCAGGAGAGAGCAAACCTTCACTAACTTGGAGGTCGCAGGAGGAAAAAAATTACTTACCAAAATTTACTCTGCTGCTTTTACATGAACAGCCATAGAAACATGCCACGTGTACCCAAACTCAGTATTTCAGAGGTACAAAGAATATAGCAGAGTAAAGACAGGACAAGGAAGTAAGTCCAGGACAAAATGAAATTAGATTTCATGCAATTTTAATTTTATT